CATCCATCCATCCATCCATCCATCCATCCATCCATTATCTTTACCCACTTATTCCATTTTGGGTCACGGGGGTCGCTGGTGCCCATGTCCAGCAGTCACTGTGCGAGGGGCGGGGTACACCCTGGATGGGTCTCCAGTCCATCACAGGGACACATAGAGACAAACGAGACAAACAACCATTCACTCTCTCTCTCTCACCTAGGGACAATTTAGAGTTACCAATCAGCCTAACATGCATGTTTTTTGACTGTGGGAGGAAACCAGAGCACCCGGAGAAAACCCACGCATGCACGGAGAGAACATGCAAACTCCACCCAGAAAGGCCCCCGGACCGGGGTTTGAACCAAGGACCCGCTTGCTGAGATGCAGCAGCTCTACCAGTTGTGCCACCGTGCTGCCCTGCTTTAAATCAGCGATTCATTATTTCTGTTAGATGAACGCACGAAGAGTAAACTTTTACTTTATTCAAACGTTTCTGTCCGTGTTCTGATTATTTGGTAGCGTTGCCTTTGAAACGGTCTGACTCCACAAACATCTTCCAGCAGTTTGCTCTGATTTTGTCCCGTTCCTCCTGACAGAACCGGGTGGACCTGGATCAGGTCTGTAGGCCGCCTTCAGCTCTACCCAGGGTACATGTTCAGAAGGCCTCCAAAGGGAGGTGTCCAGGAGGCATCTTGATCAGATGAACCTCTTCAGCTGACTTGATTTGATGCAGAGGAGCAGCAGCTCTACTCTGAGCTCCTCTTGGACGATGGAGCTCCTCACCCTCTCTCTAAGGCCGAGCCCCCACCACCACCACCACCCTATGAAGGAAGCTCATTTCAGCTGCTTGCATCCAGGATCTGGTTCACCTGTGGTCATGATTCTAACCTCATGACCTCAGGTGAAGGTTGGAACAAAGACAAATTTTATATAAAATGTGTCTCCCATAAATCGTAGACTGTTGAAGAACTCTGACAACAACAAAGTTCATGCTCAATCATCCAGGTACCAAAGCCAATAATTCTCAGTCGGGTCATCTGGACAGTTTCTTTTTTATAGAGACGTTTCACCCTCTATCCAGAGGACTTCATCAACCAGAGGAGTTCCAGTAAACTGTTTCCCCACCAAGCAGTAAACTCCTTAAGTGGACCAACCAGTTTGCTGGAACTAAGATGGTTTCTGGGGGCCGTCCCTTCCCTCGTCGACTCCTCCCAGGCAGGCAGCCACAGCCAAAGTGGTTCAAGGCAACAAAGTTCATGCTCAATCATCCAGGTACCAAATCCAATAATTCTCAGTCAGGTCATCTGGACAGTCTGAGTTTGTGAGGACGGCCTGCTCTTGGTAGATTTACACACGTTCCACATTCCTTCCAGTCCTTGATGATGGATCTAACAGAAGTCTGGGGACGTTTAGAAACTTGGAAATCCTGTTGTGTTTTCCTCTGACGTGTCCTTTCAATAATCTTTTCTTTGAGTTGAATAAGGACCGTCACTGTAAAGGGGGTGAATATTTATGCAGTTGACTTTATTTAATTGGTGTTTATTTGTAGAAATGTGACTTAACTTTGACATTGACAAAGTTTATTTCGAAAGTCTTTTTGTGAAGAGTCCATGTTGACCATGACTACTTTATGATAGCAATAAAAGTATAAAACTTCCAGGCGGTGAATACTTTAATAGGTTCTGTAAATACGACAACCGCACAATAAAACTCCTGAAATACTGGTGTGGTTTTTGGTTTTGGTGTTCCCCACAGGACCAACCGAGGCCCCCATCTGGTCCAACTATCTGGAGGTTGCTTTGTTCTGGACATTTGTATCAGTGAAGTGTTTGGTGTTCACAGTGGAAAATGTGCCGATATGGATTAGTCAGTTCAGATTAGAAGGCCACCAGGATCTGGATTGGTCAGTTAAGAGTTAAACTCCACTGGGAATGATCTATTATGGTATCATGTGGTAAATGGTGTCCAAATTCAGTTCCCTCCTTTAGAGAATGTGTAGAAAAGACGAGAATCTTTTTGTCTTGCAGCGTCTCTGGGACGGCTTCTTCAAGCAGCGTGAAGGTTGCTTAAATGAGGACGGTTTGCTTGAGACACCCCCACCCCCCCACTGCAACCACAACAAGCCGGGTTTCCATTTTAATTTCAGCGTCAGATGTCAAACAGGCCGACGCCAACATCACAACTGAAGTGTCAGCTTCCACAACCTTACTGGGCTGGACATTTTCCGAACTAACGGAACGCCGGTTTTCCGAGTGGAGGTGGTCGCCTTCTGTTTTCAATTCGAGCCTTCATAAGTTTTTATTTTTTATTTTTTTTATCCCGTTGTTTTAAACCGTTTTTGACTCATTCGGTGAACTTCACTGAGAGCAGTTAAGAGTTTAAAGGACACCGTTTGGGTTTAACGACTTCCTGATGGAGGCTGATTGTTGGCAGCAGCCTCTGGACGAAGGCGTCCTTTAAATATCGTCACGGTGTGATGGTTTTTAAACGTCCCTGTCTGAGACGGTGGAGTTTCCGTTTGTCTGTGAACGCCCCGTCCTGACTGACTGAGCTCACTTCTGACTGATTTCTATTTCAAGAGTCTTGGTGTTTCCTTTACGTGAGCTGGGGGGGCTGAAACTTTTGGCATGAATATCAACCGTGTGTGGAGGGGGTTTATCTTTACGCACCCACTTTTAAAGTAGAGTCTACTCTTAATTTACAGCGCATGTATCAGCCAAATGTTTTGCTTCTGCTTTCTGTTGGCTTTATCAAGTTCTGATGCCTGAGTCTGTGGAGGCGGTGCTGTTTTCTTTAAGACATCAGAACGTTTTTAAGGGTTCTGGTTCACTGAAGCCCCGTTATTCTCCCATGTTGAATTCTGAAACCCCTTTTTTTTTTAAATACACCCAGATGTGCAGCTAAGTCAGGAAGTGTGCCATGACTTTTGGTAGCAGTACGTACAGAATATGGAAAGAAGAGCTCTTTATAATATTTTTCCCAATAAACGACAATGTTTTTTTCTTGGGGCAGGTAGAAAACTCCATCCCGTTTGGAGCGCTGCAGCTCAAACACACCTGACGGTAAAAACATCGTTCAAAGTGTGAACGAGTCGCAGAAAGTTGGGCTTTACGTGCCTGAAGTGGCATTTTAACATCTTTACCAGTTTTTACACAGGTGCAGTTTAAGTTTAATGATTTGACAGAATTTTCCACAGAAAGTTCAACTGACAGTTGATGTTGCACTGACTGTTGAACCGTTAAAGGTTTCAAATAAAAAAACTCCTTATTCCTGCAACACTTTGAGTAAAAGAAACTTTTTCTACTCTTCTTTCTCTCTGTGTCTCTTGCTGCTGTAGGACTTACAGATGTCTTACGCCCCCAGATTACAGAGCGTGCACACACAAAGCTTCCACAGACTCAGTTATATTTGAGTCAAAGTTTTCTCCTAACCTGGAAACAAATTGTTGTTTCTTGTTTGTCCAACATGAAACGCTGCAGAAACGTAAAAACCCGCCGAAGTCTTCGGCTGCTCAGGACTCATGACTTTTTAAGCTCTGACCTAGTTTTCACACAGCGGCTGTTAGTCTGAGGGCTACTTTTTAGCCTCCGTTTCTGTAGGCAACAGCTGTGGGTTGCCCCTCCGCCTTTCTGCTCCGCCTTCAGAAGAAGGCGGGAATCACCGTGGCAACCAGTGCAGATTCTGGGCGGCTGGCTTCAGCAGGAAGTCTGCCTCAATAAATCCTGTTGTATAAAACATTTGTTCTCCAGTTCGGCCTTTTGTAAATTTAGGGAACGTTGACTAAGAAGAACGTCAAAAAGATCAAACAGGATGTGTTTTTAAATCTGGAGTTTCAACATAAAGCTCAGAGATACTCTTCAAAATAAGAGTCTGACTTTGTAATAACTCAGGTTAAAACTTCAACATTACTGTTAGGCTCGTCTCTGTGTCTCTGTCTCTGTGTGTGTCTCAATATGTCTCTTGAGTGTGTCTCAATATGTATCTGTGTGTGTTTGTGTCTCTATGTCTTTGTGTGTCTTTATGTGTCTCTATATGTTTCTCTCTGTCTCTATATGTCTTTGTGTGTCT